ATTAATTAGAGATTGATTTCATCAAATTTAATTTGTGAGAAAATTTTAAAATTTTATTAATGACTCACTATTTTTTACTAGGATTAGAATTATTTTAAATTTAAATTTGAAGTTGAAAAAATTTAATGAACTTGTGAGGCGATAAAAGGTTAGAATTACTACAAATCCAATTGGTATTTCCAAGGGAGGTTTTTTTGTTTTTTGGAGAGACCACGGGAGGTGAGTTCTTAATTATTTTAAAACAATTTTGATTGTGGCAAAATTTGGATTCCATTATGCAAAGTTTGGATTGTATTGTAATGAGTCAGCCTGTATTTGGCAAGAGGGTTGTGCGCTAATTTAAATTAGCCACAAACGGACAAAACACATTCAGCCTCCGTTTTGGAGCATAACTTGCATACAAAGAGGGATGAAACTACCAATTTACCCCTAGGCTATTTGGGCAGTAAGAAGACTCCAATGTCAACCTTTTCCCAATAAAAACATGTTTTCCAGAAAACCAAAGAAAGTTGAAAAAAAAAAATTTAATTTTTTTTTTTGTTTTTTGTTAAAATATTTTATAAAAATAAATTCAAACTCTATTTATAAAAATATTTTTAAATATTTTAATTTTTTTTATTATGTATTTGATTATTTTTTGAGTGTAGAGTTGTGAAAGTAGTATGAAATTTCGAGTTATGTGTTTAGTTATGAGTTTTAAAAATAATTTATTAATTGAGTTTTATTTTATGTGTTTGGTTATGATTTGAGTGTAGAGTTGTTTTTAAATTTAAAATATTAATATTTGAAATTATTTAAAATTTTTGAATATTTAAATTATTTAAATTTTTACGATTTAAATTTTTTGAATATTTATTTTAATTTTTTACTTTTTAAATTTTTTAGATTATTTAAATTATTTAAATATTTATGATTTTAATTTTTTGAGTATTTATTTTGAAAAAAATTTATTTCCTCTGTAGTATTTTCAATTAAAAAATTGATTAATGTTATTTTCTATTAACAATAATTTTTTTTAATAGAATTCTAAAAAGAGTTTGGCTATTAGTGTTGATCAGAATTTTCAATAGTGTGAAAGTAGTATGTTTTGTTTTGAGTTATAATAATTTGAATTAAGTTTTGAAAACTCTTTCCAAAACTCATAACGCCTCATCCAAAAAGATAAAAAAAAAACAGAAATTACCATTTGTCATGTAATTTACAAATAAATAAAACACATGAAAACCCATTTTTATATATAAACAAAAAATAATAATAATAATAACGAGAAAAAACTTAAAAAATGAAAAAAATGTAAATTAAAAAAAATAACGAGAAAAATACGCCTCATTCAAAAATATTTAAAAAAAAAACATAAAAACATAAATTACCATTTGCGACGTAAGTTAGAAATAAATAAAACACATGAAAACTCATTTTTGAAAAATTAAAAAAAAAGTTATTGTATACCAATAAAAATAAAAAAGAAAAAAAAACATAAATTAATGTGAGTGAATAAAAAAATGACAAAATCGTAAATTTTAAAAAAATAACGACAAAAATAGACCTCATTCAAAAACATTTAAAAAAAAGCATGAAAACATAAATTACCATTCGCCATATAATTTACAAATAAATAAATAAAAAATAAATCGTATACCAATAAAAATAAAGAAGGCAAAAAAAAGTAAATTAAAGAACAAGAACTAATTAATGTATAAAAAAAAAGACAAAAACATAAATTTAAGCAAAATATGCCAAATCCAAACCCAAAATAAAATATAAAAAAAAATGTACACAAAATACGCCAAATCCAAACCCAAAATAAAAAAATAAAAAAAATTTAAGCAAAATACACCAAATCCAAACCGAAAATAAAAACTTAAAAAAAAAAAAGCAAAATACGCTAAATCCAAACCCAAAATAAAAAAATAAAAAAAAAACAAAATTTATTAGCAAAATACGCCAAATCCAAACCCAAAATAAAAAATAAAAAAAATGTAAGCAAAATACGCCATATCCAAACCCAAAATAAAAAAATAAAAAAAATTTAAGCAAAATACGCCAAATCCAAACCCAAAATAAAAAAATAAAAAAATAAAAAACATTTAAGCAAAATTTGCCAAATCTAAACCTAAAATAAAAAAAAAAAAGTCAAAAAAGGCATATTGGTAATTTAACAGGAAGACACCTCACCTAAAAGTTAAAAAAGTCAAAAAAAAATTTTCAAATCAGACTTTTTAATCCCAAACTAAAATAATCAAAAAAATCAAAAAATTAAAAAGTCAACCTACTCCCCGAGACAGAGCCTCAGTCAGTTAAAAATGGGAAACGTGTGTATGTGTTGAGATTAATGTATCACCATTAATTGAGTTTTTTTTTTGTTTTTTGTTTTTTGTTTTTATTTGTTTTGTTCTGAAGTGAGTGCAAATTGAAATGATTAAAGATATTGAAATCTGTTACAAGGTTGGTTTGGGAAGTGGATTGGAACTTTTTGATTTTTTGACTTTTTTAGCTATTTTAGCATGGGCTAAAAAGTTAGTTGGGAAGAGCTTTTTGACTTTTTTTGACTTTTTTTGTGAGAGAAGAGTGTAATGATTATGAGTTAGATGTGATGTTTTGTTTGTTGTGGCTAAAATAGCTATTTTGTCTTTTATGACTAAAATAGCCAAAAAAACCCACAATTTATCTTCCCAAACGGAGCCATAGTGCTGTTGAAATTGTGGATTACACATTGTGATGTTTTGAAAAGATAGTTAAAAATGTGTAAAAAGTATGTGATGTTTTGAAAAAAATATGTAAAAAATATGAAAGATAATGTGACTTAAAATGAATTAAAAGATGAGAAATAACTTTTAATCCACTTCTCAAAAGAGGCCAATGTACACTCTAAAAATAGACTTAAGAATATAATGTTGTAAAATACACAATTCATTTTAACATTAATTAATCAATAGTATTACAAATTTACCTTTATTACTCTAGAATTTATTTTAGAAGAAGAAATTGATGGTTCAAATTCATTTTATATGTAAATTTTACAATTCATCAATTCAAATTCTACCATATAAATACATTTAGAGTAAATTTAGAATTCATAAAGATAAATTTCTAGCATTTTTCGTAATTAATTTTATGAGAGAAGTGAAACCCAACCCAATAAAAGTAATGGTCTATGTCAAGAGACCTCTACTGTTGACGAAATTGCTCAAAAATCAAAATAAAGGAAACAGTGGCCCTGTTTACCCAAAAAACAAATCTAAACCCAAAAAAAAAAAAAAGTCAAAAAAGGCATATTGGTAATTTAACAGAAAGACAACTCACCCAAAAGTTAAAAAAGTCAAAAAAAAAATTTCAAAATAGACTTTTTAATTCTAAATTAAAATAATTAAAAAAATCAAAAAATTAAAAAGTCAATCCACTCCCAATCAGTCAGTTAAAAATGGGAAACGTGTGTATGTGTTGAGATTAATGTATCACCATTAATTGAGTTTTTTTTTTGTTTTTTGTTTTTTTGTTTTTATTTGTTTTGTTCTGAAGTGAGTGCAAGTTGAAATGATTAAAGATATTGAAATCTGTTACAAGGTTGGTTTGGGAAGTGGGTTGAGGCTTTTTGACTTTTTGACTTTTTTAGCTATTTTAGTATGGGTTAAAAAGTTGGTTTGGGAAGACCTTTTGAGTTTTTTGACTTTTTTTGTGAGAGAAGAGTGTAATGATTATGGGTTAGATGTGATGTTTTGTTTGTTGTGGCTAAAATAGCCTATTTTGTCTTTTATGACTAAAATAGCCAAAAAAACCCACAATCTATCTTCCCAAACGGAGCCACAGTGCTGTTGAAATTGTGGATTACACAATGTGATGTTTTGAAAAGATAGTTAAAAATGTGTAAAAAGTATGTGATGTTTTGAAAAAAATATGTAAAAAATATAAAAGATAATGTGACTTAAAATGAATTAAAAGATGAGAAATAACTTTTAATCCACTTCTCAAAAGAGGCCAATGTACACTCTAAAAATAGACTTAAGAATATAATGTTGTAAAATACACAATTCATTTTAACATTAATTAATCAATAGTATTACAAATTTACCTTTATTAATCTAGAATTTATTTTAGAAGAAGAAATTGATGGTTCAAATTCATTTTATATGTAAATTTTACAATTCATCAATTCAAATTCTACCATACAAATACATTTAGAGTAAATTTAGAATTCATAAAGATAAATTTCTAGCATTTTTCTTAATTAATTTTATGAGAGAAGTGAAACCCAACCCAATAAAAGTAATGGTCTATGTCAAGAGACCTCTACTGTTGACGAAATTGCTCAAAAATCAAAATAAAGGAAACAGTGGCCCTGTTTGGGAAGAGGATTGAAGGATAAAATAGCTTATAAAAAATAAAATTGATTAAAATAGTTAATAAGATAAAATATTATATTCAAATCATAATTATTTTTTATCTTTTCTCTCACAATCCTCAAATCAACTACAAAAAAAAAAAAAAAATTATATTTTCAAATACAACTTTTTTAGTTATGCAAAAATAATCAAAAAATTAAAAAGTCAATCAAAATAGCCAATTTTTCGCACAAGGCCAGTATCGGGTCAAATGGTATCATATTTTAAATTTAAAAATACTACACAAACCAATTTTTTACTTAATTTTCATAATTCTACACACAAAGTAACAGATTTCTCAATATTTATTAATGTGGGTCATTCCAACTTTGAGTCTAGTGATAAAAAAAATTATGTAATAAATCCATTTAGGTACAATATTACTCTTTAAATTTACCAACCAAAGTTCCGCACTCGTTAAATTTACCAACCAAAGTTTAACAGAACCTACTGCATTGAGAAATGATACTCTCTTTATTTTGCTCCAGGTATTGAGGAATACTATTTCACATTTCACATATTAGACACACATACTAATACATGCTATCTATTTTTTTTCTTACTGTACTATATACTTATTTGCTAGAAAACTCCACTAAACAAAATGAGACAATTCCAACAAGGACATAATGTCATAGTTATTTTCTTAGCAAAAGATCAAATTTGAGAAGAGTGTCTCTGCTGCTTTTCAGCTTGCACAGAGCATCACTCATGCTAATGCGCCCATTCGGAGAATCGACAGTGCAAGAAAGCCCAACACCAAGCAGGGCGATCAAGCAATCGTGCTGCGCTTCTGGAGAAATGGATTTACCCTCATGACAAAGACTACCCTTATTTGGCAGCAAATCTTGATCCAGTACTTGCTCTATGCTGGCAGGGAAGGCCATTTTCACCCATTCCTTCAGGCTTGACCCTCCTGTGAAGATCTCATCGGTTGGTGTCTTCCCTGTAAAAAGCTCCAGCAATGTAATTCCATAGCTATAAACATCTCCGGCTGTTGATGGTTTCTCTCCTAGCCCATACTCTGCATCACAATTCATCAAACCAAACAAATTATATCATGGGGTCTAATTTAGTGTGTATTGTGTGATTTCATAAATATATTTAAAGCTATTTTGGCAAACCCTGCTTTAGCAGGATTGTCGTGTACTGAGTCACTCTTAAAATATGAACCTGGAGGAATGTAGCCTACAGAGCCCTTCACGCCACGCGTAGAGCTGATAGAACTTTGGTCACGAGTTCTGCTGATCAACAACTTGGCCAGACCGAAATCTCCTACCTTGGCAGTCATATCTTCATCCAACAGTATGTTGCTAGGCTTCAAATCGCAGTGCACCACTTGAGCTCCGTTCTCATGGTGCAAATAGTTTACAACACAAGCAACATCAATGGCCACATTCAATCTCTCCACGATATTCAACCCGTCTCCATTCGTGTGTCTCCTCTTTCCCCTTATCCAATCTTCCAAGCTCCCATTACTCATGAATTCATACACAAGAGCAAGAAATTCCATGTTTTTGAAGTCTATGCTTGAGCACGATGTTATGAGTTTCACAAGATTCCGATGCCTAACACTCCTCAGAGCTGCGCACTCTGCCAAAAAACTCTTCCATGATCCAGTCCTCTCCACATCAAGCACCTTAACTGCGATGGGACTTCCTTCCCTGAGATTTCCTTTGTAAACAGACCCAAAACTCCCCCTTCCAAGCAGATTTTCTTGGTTGAAATTTCCAGTTGCAAGACGAAGATCGTCGTAAGAGACCATTTGATGCGGTCTCTTAAAGGATTCAGACGAGGTTTTGATCTTTGCTTGTCTTTTCCTTAGGTAGAAAATCAAGCTAATTGCTAAAGATAGTGCTAAGATTGCAGCGATGATGATTATAATAAAAACCAAGATTAATCTTTTTATATGACCATGAATTTTCTTACATGCCAAACTGAAACAGAGATTTGGGTTACCTTCTAAATGAACTTTAGAGAGATTTGAGAAAACCCCACCAATGGGAACCTCTCCTTCCAGGTTGTTGAAAGAGAGGTTCAACACTTGTAGGGCCTGCAACTTTTGTAGGTCACTTGGAATTGAGCCGGAGAGATTGTTGTTGGAGATGTCAAGAGTTTGCAAACCTTTCACCTCTACAAAAGTATTTGGGATGCGACCCGAGAACAAATTATCTGCCATGAACAGTTCTTCCAAGCTCTTACATTTCCCAATTGAATCGGGGATGGGACCCGATAAACGGTTGTCAGAGAGGTCAATTGAGACAACACTAGCTAGGATCCCAATTTGTTGAGGCAAAGGTCCATTAAGGAAGTTCTTTGAAAGATTCAAATGAGTGCTTAAACTAGGAAGATTGAGAATTTCTCTTGGTATGCTTCCATTGAGCTTGTTACTAGACAAGTCCAATGAAAGCAAGTCCTGGAAATTTCCAAAACTAGTGGGTATGCTTCCCACCAGTTCATTTCCTGATAAATCAATCTCAATCAATTTTTTGAGATCACCTATGGAATTTGGGATCTTTCCAGAAATTTTATTTCCAGCCAAACCCAACTTCAGCAATTCCTCCAACTGGCCTACTTCGTGGGGAATTTCACCAGATATTGAGTTGTAGCTCAAGTTTAGCAAAGCCAAACCGTTCAGATGACCAATTGAGGCAGGTATGCTGCCACGAATACGGTTTCCTCCCATATATAGTTTTCCAAGAACCTTAGAAAGATTGCCTATGGATTCTGGAATTATGCCATCTAGAAGATTGCCATCGATGGCAAGGAAGTTGAGACGGGTACTGTTTGTCAACAAAGAAAGAAAATTTAGACCATTATCGCCTGAGCTAACGATCCTATTGAACCCAATGTTGTACATACGTAGGTCTGGAAGATTTCCTAGTCCTGGTGGAACAGTTCCATGTAAGAGGTTGTGTGCCATACGAATGATTTGTATGTTTGTGAGGTTGTGCAGTGACCCTGGAATGGTGCCAGTGAATTTATTGAAGCAAAAATTGAAACCTAGAAGATTTGGGAGTGTGACTCCAACATCACTAGGAAGATTACCCCACAAATCATTGGAAGCCAAGGCCAAATAAACTAGGGAAGACATGTTGTATATTGATGGAGGGACTGTGCCTGTGAGGTTGTTAATGGTGAGATCAAGATATTTCAAATTTCGAAGACGAGACAAGTCACCAGGTATCGGGCCGCTGAGGGTATTGGTGCCTAAATTTAAATTGGTGAGTGATGAAATGTTGGCTATGGATGGTGGAATTGGGCCCGAAAGATTGTTTCCCGCCAAGTTCAAAATTTGTAGTTTCGTTAGGTGGCTGATCTCTTCGGGGATTCTCCCCGAAACCTCATTTTGCATCAAGTTGAGGGTTCTAAGCTCGACGCACCGGCTTATGGTTGGCGGTATTGGACCTTGGATGGTGTTGAAGCTTGCATTCAGGACTGCTAGACGAAAAAGATTGCCAAGTTGGCGAGGAAATGTTCCTGTCAATTGGTTATTTTGGAGTTGAAGTGATCTAAGGAAGGAAAGATTGCCAATGTGAGGGGTTATGGATCCTTTTAGCCCTAGGCTGGCAAGATCAAGCCCAACCACTCTCTGGCCTAATTTGTTGCAGGTGACTCTGGTCCAGTTGCAGGGTGACAAGGTTTGGTCCCAAGTAGATAGAGGGTTAGGTGACTCTATGAGGGACTTGAAAGAGATCAAGGCCTCCTTGTCTGTCTCAATGCTCAAAGTAGAGGAATCAACAGCAAGAAATAGGCTTTTGGAAGCAATGAAACCAAGTGAAATGACAAATTGAAGCATTAGGACAGAGGGGAAACCCATGTCTACTTGGTGCTTTGCAATGAAGAGAGACACTGAATGCATGAAAAAGTTGGAAATGGAGATGTGGTATTTAAAGATTGAAGTTGATAATCACATGTGATGATGAACCTTTGGTGAAAAGTCGTAGACATCTGTATTAGTAGACTGCTAAATTATTGAACCTTGTCATGCCATGAGTGAGTTTTATGGATTCATTAAAGTCTTCAGTTGGGTGGACCACCACCAGTTAGTTTGGTGGATTCATACAAGTAAAGTCTTAGTTGTTGACTTGGTGACACTTATTAGGCCAGTGCTGAGTGGATTCACACCAGTGTTTCATTCCATATTTATAGAGATAACCGGGTGTAATTTGTTTGTTTGTTTTGTTTTGGGTGACAAGGGAGGCCTAAGCCCAGCCAAAAAACAAACTAACTACCAACACTTTGAGAAGTTGCGAGCTCCTAAGCATCCTTTGCTAACGAAGGTTACACCGTCTAACAAACGTAACACAGATGGTGTAACGCTAATGGATGTGCCAATTGTTTGGCTAAAGAAGCGCAAGTGTTGGAGGCCCAACGGCAACTCATCCACTTGCGTTTGCCGTCTGTGCTACCTTTATTAGCAAAGGATGCTCAGAAGCTTGCAACTCCTCAAAGTGTTGGTAGTTAGTTTGTTTTTGGGCTGGGCTTAGGTCCGTCTTGTCACTAGGATTATAAATGAGCCGAATCAAGTCGAGTTTTTAGAGGTCAAACTCGGTTTGTTAATATGAATGAAATTGGAGTTCGGCTTGACTCGGCTTGATAAGATTTTTTTAAATATTATTTATATTATTTAATATATAAATAATATATTTATTATATAATTTAAATAAAGATAAACAAGCCGAGCTTATTCGAGCTCAAGCTCAGTTCGTTTACTAAACAAGTCGAGCCGAGCCTGTTCGTGAACAATTTGATTCATTTGCAGCTCTACTTGTCACCAAAAATAAAAAATAAAAAATATTATGACAAATTACACCGGTGGTCCCTATATTTTACATCTTGTATCATTTTCGTCCCTATACTTTCAATTGTCTCAATTTTGACTCTTAATTTTAGATTTTGTTTCAATTTGGTCTAATTAAAAATATCGTTAGTGTTTTTAAAGGAAAATTATCACTAAATTGATTGAGGTTAACTAATTGAGTTTAGTAAATTTATAATTTCGCACTTAAAAATATGGCACATGACACTTATTTACATATTTTGCATAAAAAATACTAAGAGTTGTTATCAATTTGACCAAATTGAGACAAAATCATAAATTCAGGATCAAAATCAAACCAACTAAAAGTACAAGGACTAAATGACACAAGAGATAAAGTACAGAGACTACCGTCATAATTTGCCTTTAAAAATATCACGGGCCCTATTTTCAGTGCTACACATTCAGAATTGTGTACAAGAAAAGAGTGCAACTTCTCTCTAATTTTGTTTGGATGGACTGAATAAAGGGAATTGTAATTCATCGGACTGTTAATCTTGAGATACATAGTCTCTAAATTATTTGGTTAGAAATGATATGTATCCCATGTGTGTTTAGTAATGGAATTAAATGTTAAGAAAAGACTATTCTACTGAATCATATATTTGTTTGAGATATTATGAAGAAGGATAAATGCTCAAAAGATTATTTTGTTCTTTTAAATTGTTTACTAAATAATAGCAATACTAAATTTGACTTGTAAATTTTATTTTATTTTATTTTATTTTTTAGTTAGAACTTTTAAAAAACTAAATAAATAGAACATCAATAAACAATAAATTATTTTATTTTTTAGCTAGAACTTTTTAGTTGGAATTTTTATTTTTAAATAAACAAAAATCCATGAGAGCCAAAAATGTCTTTTAATCTTCTAATGAGGAGGATTTATCTCATCCTTTTGTATCCCACACCCTCTCATGGACACAATAATCCCCACAAATGAGGGATTGATTGTGTGATTGGACTATTAATATGACATAAGTTTTTTGAACCAAATAACATACTATTTTATATATTAGACATGGATTCCCATCCTACCCTGTAATCCCTCCAAACAAATAGATTCAATGGTTTAGTTTAGGCCATGGATCCATTATCATGGGTTTCATTTTGATAATTTGATATGTTAACTTTTTAGATTCTTATGTGTAGATTATTTAATCACATTTGTCTAAAAAACTTGCATGATCTATTTTTAAAATTATGTTTGTTGTCTATTTTTTTTAAATATGAACGTGGTGGAAGTATGTGACTACAATTATTGAATCAATCTTTTTAAATTTTTTTATTTTATTTTATTTTAAATGAATAATCTACAAATTGAGACACACAAAATAAAAATAATTAAAATAGAGCTTGTGGTAAGCTCACAACCTAGACTAGACTAGTTCCATGCAAAACGTAGCACTCACAAAAAAATATTTTTAAAATATAGTGATTCACATTTATTCTAAATGTAAATCTCACCATACAAGAATTAAATAACAACACACATTATTTTTCTCAATAAATTTTTGTGTGTTTTAAATCAATGATGCAGTAAACGAATTTATAAATAAAACAAAATTGACTCTCTTTGTTGAGTAATTGGGGGAACAACTCATAACCAAGTAGTATGTTTAGTGATTTTTGAATTTCCGAGAACATCATGACATCAAAATAATGTCATATGATGTTCCGAAACTATTTAAAGAATTTTTTGTTATTTTAGACTTTTCTTTTTAAATTTCTACTCAAATTTACGATCCAAATACAGTCTTAGTGTCGAAATCATACGTGCACCAAAATGCAAGCTAACTGAAATTTGGTACAGATTGTGTTATGGACTTTGAACTATTTTTTTGCTCCAAACACAGTTTTAGTGTCGAAATCATGGATGCACCAAAATTCAAGCTAACTGAAATACGGCACAGATTGCCTTATGGACTTTGAAGTATTCTTTCCCAAGTGGCTGTAGAAGTAACTTGAAAATCCAAAATACCAAGTATTTTGAGTAGGAATTTTCATTATTTTAGAATTCTCTTTTCAAATTCCTACTCAAATTTACAATTCAAACACAGTCGCATTGCAATCATGTGTGCATCAAATTTCAAGCTAACTGAAATGTGGTATAGATTGTGTTATGGACTTTGAAGGATTTTTTGCTCCAAACACAGTTTTAGTGTCAAAATCATGGGTGCACCAAAATTCAAGCTAACTGAAATCTGGAACAGATTGCGTTATGGACTTTGAAGTATTCTTTCCCAAGTGGCTGTAGAAGTAGACGTGAAAATCCAAAATACCAAGCAAGTATTTTGTCCAATGTTTCAGATCAAAATTCAACCGCAAACTTTTTGAAGTAAACGATTGACTTAGCCAACACCTTCACACACTGTTAGAAATTGGGCGCCCATGTGGCATGACCCTTTTGAAACTGAACCTTTTGAACCTTATCCATATAAGTTTGAATTTAATTCAAAACTTATTTGAATAACCATTCAAGATATCTATATCTATCATATCAATAGATATGGATAGATGGATAGATAGATATTGGTCTGATTATATATTTTAGATAATATATTGATATATACGGATACGTTATGTGCTGACAAACAATGATCAAGCCATTTTGCACTGTGACTTGTGTGGGTTACTGCTGGATTCGTTGTTCAGATTCTGGAAGTACGTGATTTACCCACGAGATTCTATCATTACAAAGTATGATCTAAATATTTTTTCCCGTTGCGTTTTATACTTTGATTTACACACACAATGTAAAATATCAACCTTATTCATATAAGTTTGAATTTAATTCAAAACTTATTTGAATAACCATTCAGGATATCTATATCTATCATATCAATAGATATGGATAGATGGATAGATAGATATTGGTGGTTATATATCTGATTATATATTTTAGATAATATACTGATATATACCGATACGTTATGTGGTTTTTACCCATAATCTTTTTTCCAGACACTCTCTCTTTGGCAAATAACGATCAAGCCATTTTGCACTGTGACTTGTGTGGGTCACTGCTGGATTCGTGGTTCAGATTCTGGAAGTACGTGATTCACCCACGAGGTTCTATCATTACAAAGTATGATCTAAATATTTTTTCCCGTTGCGTTTTATACTTTGATTTACACACACAATGTAAAATATCAGAATCAACATCAAGCATTGCTGTAAGGCAGAGAGACCACACTCAGTAGATTATTACAAGGGAAAATTGCAAATCAATGGAACAGAGAAAGAATATTTACATTTTCATGATGGTGCATATTTTCTATATATATATGTGCATAGTGCAAGTGCTAGTTCTTCCTGTATGCCAAACTTGCACCATGAAAAGTTCCATCTATAATGTAATTATTTATTTTTTTTTACCACTGATTTTCAATTTTCCCTTTTTACAAACTCTTAAACCTATTTGCATTGTAGGGCCTTATTCACATTTAAGGAGAGGACGAGTTCATGGCCATTTACATTACCTGCTCCATTCTCATCAGTCCTAATACAACCAAACTCTTGAAAACCATCTTCAATAATTTCTCGTTATTAGAACTTCAATACGTTTTGGAAAAGTCTATAATATGCACCCACAAAAAAGGACACATTATGTGCCCCTTATAACTTTACTCACAAAAAATATAACACCATTCACGAAAGTATACTTTTTAAAAATTATCATAAATTTTGGGGAAAATTACATATACCTCCCTCGAGGTTTAGCAAAATTACAGATACCCCTGAAGTTTGAGAAATTACAGATAACCCTTGAAAATACTATTTGCATAACAAATTAGGAGGCAAATTGTTATGAAAATATAAACTTCAGGGGGTAATTTATTATGAAAATATAAACCTCAGAAGTATCTGTAATTTTCGAAACCTCAGGAGTATCTGTAATTTAGCTAAACCTCGAGGGAGGTAAATGTAATTTGTCCTAAATTGTGTGAAATTTTGTGAAAAAAGACACAAAAATCGTAATTTTTCTCACAAAATGTATAACACATCTCACAAGAAGTATAACATTCAAATTTTCACAACTTTTTTTTTGAAGACACAAAAATTGTAACTTCGCTCACAAAATGTACAACACATTTCACAAAAAATAAAACATTCAAATTTTCACAACTTTTTTTC